AGATAATAGAGAGTAACGACCAATGTATGACCTTACAAAAGTGGCTGAATCTTTACTTTACTTACTTTACTTTACTTACTTAAAAGAGCAGCACTAATCATTCCTATCTTATAGCCTGATAGAAATATGAAGTGAGATATTGCATATAAATACACAGAATGCCACGGCTAGAGCAAGTGCAGACTAGTACATGCTAGCTCTTATTACTCCAGTATGGTTTGGGGAACTCTATGGTCTGTCGTTCTCAACTATTCCTTTCACTATCCTCATGAACTCTCCAGCTGAGAGTTCTCTCTCTGGAGAGTTCTGACCTGTATGTGTTTGACCTACTATAAGCAAAATCAGCAAGCTGAATGCCTTCACATGGCAGTGTCCAACGGACATTTCTGTGATGATGGAAATATTCTCTAGTCACGCTGTCCAACATGTTGGTCATTAGTCCCTGAGGCTAGTGAGCACGTACAGACCACTCCCATGCCTCGGTCTCCTTCTTAGTAATACGAGACTGGTACCAGGAGTGGGTTCTGAGAATTAAACAAGAGAATACATATAAAGCAGTGGCTCTCAAAGTTCATTCTGATTAGAATCACCTGGAAGGTTGTTGAAACACAGATTGCTGGGTTGATCCCCACATTTCTGATTCAGTAGGTCTGGGGGGAGAGCCAGGGAATTTGCCCGGTCATGGTAATACCACAGGGCAGGGAACCACATGTGGAAAACAGCGTTCTAACATTCTAAGACATTTGGTAGGGTGCCTGATTCATGTGACAACTGAACAGTGTTATTTTGTGTGTGGAGATCAGCATCTTTAAGATTTCTGAAAAACAAGCAACCCACACTTTAACAGAAACCTCTAGCCCATTTTCAGACACTATTTCGAGACATGTTTATGAGGTTCCTACATAGCACAAGATACTCCCACGTGTTCCAAGTGATGGTCTGTCAGAGTGGGTTTGAAATAGGGTTTGTCAGCCTGTAGAGCTAAAGAACACCGAGTAACCTGGCCATGGTTACTGCCATGTGAAATATCTTTCACCGTTTCAACTCTCCACAAAACATATGGAAAATGACAATAAAAATCACCTTTTGAGGTGGGCCACAAGTTCGATGTCTCTCTGATTCTTCCTCTCAATGAAAAGATTGTGCTGAGGCCTGTAGGTAAGTGGCACAGAGGGAAAAGACATCTAGGTTCTCATCTTGGCTCATTTACCAACTTCCTGAGGTCACTGGCAAGTCTCTCAGTCATGACTGTGGATTTTGGACCTGAGGAGCCCTCAGGTCACTTGCAAAGAAAACCAGAGCAGGATGGTCACAAGCCCACCTTCACTGTGAGGGCTTTGCTCCTTGAAAGTCATCTTAATCCCCTAGTTTTTCTCCTCAGAGATTCTTTCCATGGTACCTTTAGTTCTGTGGATGAAAGGTGTGACAAGCAGATTAAAAAAAAAATACACAAACAATTGGTTTGATAGGTCCATCTTTAATTTTGTCATTTTCCAGTATTCACACTTTGGTTCCTTTTAGAGGCAGGGGAGGAAAGAGCCCTGGAGGAACTATGCCCAAAGAGGCTCTAGGACTATAAATATCACATTCCAAGGAAAGATCCCGAAAAGGATTTTGGACCTGGGGTGGGTTCTGGGATGCAGTGTTTTGTGTACTTATATCAGTTCTGATTAAAGGACTACTCTACTTCCTTTCCTTAAGGAACGTGAACAAAAATTCTTTGTGGGGCACCTGGGTGGCTCAGTCGGTTAAGCTTCAGATTCTTGATTTTTAGCTCAGGTCATAATCTCAGGGTCATGGGATCGAGCCCTGTGTCAGGTTCTGCACTCAGAAGGGAGCCTGCTTGAGATTCTCTCCTTCTTCCTCTCCTTCTGACCCTCCCCCTGTGCTTTCTCTCTCCCCTCCCCCAAATAAATAAATAAATAAATAAACCTTTGAACAAATTCTTTGCCCAACATTCTAGTCCCTTATGATCGTGGTACCCACTGACAAAAAAACTTACAGGCAATTTCCTCTACAAAATCAAGCTTGCTAACAGGTCCTGCTGTGGTAAGTCAGGATTGTTATTTCCATATTCAGAAAGTGCAGAGAAGCTAGGTTCTAGAGTGACTCATTATTACTCAAAGAGGCTGAGGTAGAGGGGAGGTGAGAAGCTTCCACTCATCGGGAAAATCTGAAATGTCAGGCCTCATTATTATGGTGGTCTGGTGGTCTGGCAGTATACTTCGAAGTGTCTCTGCCTTGAGAAGATTAGGAGACAGAACTTGGGATCTGCTTTGGGGATTCCGAGAAGCAAATGCGACCAAGGTTGGCTGAATCCAGATTTAAAGCAGGTGGCTATTGGTTGAATTACCGATATGAACCGTGTCTATAGTTCAGGTCTTATATGTCAAGTATTCACGTTCAAAATAAGAATGTTTGGAGTCCCATAGATTTTGCTCTTTATGGTTCTGTGCTAATGGGAAAAACAGCAGTCTTTAAGGAGTGAAGGTTTTAATCTCGGACTTGCTTCTTACTGAGTGATAGATACTGCACAAGGTAATGTATTCTCTGGGCCTCGATTTCCTGGGGGTAAAATGCCAATCCCCCAGTACATTTCCCAGGGGGCTGGTGATGTTGAACTGGGAGCGAAGGCAAAGAAGTACTTAACTACGAACAGGATCCTGGAACCTGGGTTCTTGTAAATCAATCAAGCTGAAATCATGGAACCTTCTCAGAAGGTAGTATCATGGGGCTCCTGGGTGGCTCAGTGGGTTAAAGCCTCTGCCTTTGGCTCAGGTCATGATCCCAGGGTCTTGGGATCAAGCCCCGCATGGGGCTCTCTGCTCAGCAGGGGGCCTGCTTCCTCCTCTCTCTCCTCTTGCCTCTCTGCCTACTTGTGCTCTCTCTGTCAAATAAATAAATAAATAAAATCTTAAAAAAAAAAAAAAAGAAGATAGTATCATGTATTTCTGAATTAAACAAAACAAAACTATACTTACTGGGACAGTCATTGTGGTTTCATCAGGGACAAGTTAAGCAACTGAAATACATTTAGACAGGTACTACCTCAGTGACAAATGAACTATAATAATCAATTTATTTTTATAAGGTCTCAACACAAATGGGTCCAAATGACATCCCGAGGATTATAAGTCTAAGAATCTAAGTACTACTTTTTAAAAGGGTCGGGACAGAGGGGCACCTGGTCGGCTCAGTCAGTGGAGCGTGAGACTCTTGATCTCCAGGTGGTGAGTTTGAGCCCCACGTTGGGTGTAGAGATTACTTCAAAACAAAACAAAATGAAAACGTTTGAAAGGGCTGGGACACATAAAGTAAGCAACCCTAATAGTAGGTACTCCAGAGAGAGAGACAAATGATATCTTTATTTGCCAAATTACACCTCAATCACATTCGTGTACCTAAACTCAGGGTAAGGCGTGTGCCTCAAATAATTCAGGATTCAGAGTCAGGCCTTCTTTCTTTCTTTCTTGGCCACAGCATTTGCTGACGGGATTTAGAATGCCGCTCTATTGGAAAGTTACAAATTCTTATTGATCATATGAAGCCAATAATCCTGTGTACCAGAACTGAATGTCTCCAAGCCATCATTTTTCATTTGGGAGGAAAGCTGCCTTTATTAATTAGGAGTGCACAGGCCACAAGACATAACAGCCTTTCTGCCATGTGGGGAAGCTTCCTATAGAAACCCCACCAATTTCTTCACCTTTTGGCACACGGGGTGGGCTAGTTCTTTGGCTTTGGCAGACCCCATCTGTAAAACCTTCTCTAAGTGGCCCCGGTCTGTCTTCAGTTTCTCAATCTCCGTCTTGATGGGAGCAAACCGCTGAATCACGGCGTCGGCTACCAGCAGCTTGTAGCGAGCCGTGTCCAGGCCTGCACCCTGCTGGACCGCTTCCTCTATGGGGAGGCCGGCCACCGCTGCGTGAATGGCCACCAGGTTGGAGACCCCGGCTCGGCGGGTTGGCTCGTAGGTCACCTCCGACGTGAAGTCTGTCATAGCCTTGCGGAATTTCTGCACGATCTCCTCGGGGCTGTCTGTTATCCTGACCGTGGCCAGTTTATCAGGGTCTGATTTGGACATTTTGACAGAAGGATCACGGAGGGATTTTACCTTCTTCATGGATGCTAGAGAACAACGCACAGACATACACCGACACCAAAGCCAGAAGACAAGAACAGGATCAGAAAAACATCACACCAGGAATGTCAGTGTCTAGATCTTAGAAAGTGCCAAGGGGACGAAAGGGCTTTATGGTATTATTATTTTTATTATAAACGAGTACGGCTGACACACCATGTTACTCCAATCTCCGTGTGCAACACTGATTTGACAAATTTATACATTATGCTATGTTCACCATACATGTAGCTGCTGTCCATCACCTACAATGCTACCACCCTGACTGTATTCCTTATGCTGTGGCTTGTATGTGCCTTTTATTCCCATAACTTACTCATTCGTAACTGGAAGCCTGTACTTTCCTCTCCCCTTCACCCATTTTGTCTTAGCCCCTCTCTTCCCCTCTGGCAACTATCAGTTTGCTCTCTATATTTACAGGTCTGATTCTGCTTTTTATGTTTATTTATTCTCTCTCTTTTCTTTTAAGATTCCACTCATGAATGAGATATGATATTTGTCTTTCTCAGTCTGACTCACCTCACTTAGCATGATACCCTCTAGGTCCACCCGTGTTGCCTCAGATGGCACAACCTCATCTTTTTTTATGGTTGAGCATATATGATTGAGCATGTGTCTAAATACCACAGCTCCCTTATCCATCACCTGATGATGGATATTTACGTTGCTTCTGTATCTTGGCTATTGTAAATCATGCTGCAATAAACACAGGGATGTACATATCTTTTCGAGTTAGTGTTTTCACAGCCAGTAGTGGAATTACCCGATCATAGGGTATTTCTATTTCTAATTTTTTGAAGACTCTCCATGCTGTTTTCCACAGTGGCTGCACCAGTCTGCATTCCCACCAACAGTGCACGAGGGTTCCTCTTTCTCCACATCCCCCCCAACACTTATGATTTCTTGTCATATGACCTTATTATTTTTATCTGATTATAAAAATAGCAAATACCCATGTGAAAAATTCAAGCCATTTATATAAGCATGAAAATAAAGATCACCTGAAACATGTAATAAAACTGTTAACATTTGGTTGATCATATTTTCATGCATCTTTTAATGCATCCATACACATACAATGTTTAATCTTAGACAAATGAAATCATTCTGCGTGTTAGCCGTGCATACCTTTCTAAAAAGTCTGGTCTATGTCTTTCCTCTCCTTCTCTCTTTTCCCTCTCTGCTCATCCCTGTTAGCTAATTACCCTCTGCCTAGAACACTGCCCTTCCTGCCCCCAACAAATTTTAACAATCTATGGAAATCCTTTCATTTCTTTACCACAGTTATATAAGTGTATACCAACACACACACACACACACACACACACACACACGTGAGTTGGTTATTCCTCTGATAGAATCAAGATGTTAAGCTGTGCTTTACAAACCAGTGTTATTAATAATTGCCTGTTTTGTGGCTATTGCAGAAACATCCAAGTTGAAATAGGTAAAATAATAATAGGCAAGAACATTAAACTACTACTTATTGCTAAAAGAAGCTTGATTTCAATGCATGGTAGGCCCATTTTTTGTTTGTGTGAATTACTGGAATAGCTTAGAAATTTATACCTGCCTTATGCTTCTGAACTCATATACTAGGCCCATGTTATACTCCTATAAAATGTTGTCAGTTTAATAAAGATGGACAGCGCTTAGGCTCAATGATCTCTGCCCCTGCCACAAATCTACATCCCCACCAAAATGTTGATAGAGAAGCACAGCTTCTTTCCTCCAGAACCTTCCACACTTGTGTAGTCTCCCAGCTGCTGGTGAGGCTTCAGATCCCATGGGGGGATTATACCTCCTATCAGTGTTGGGCATTTAAGAAAAGAGGGTGTGAGAATGATCAACTCCTTCTTGTTTTATCAAGCTGGCGATTCAGCAGTTCTCCTTCTTATGGCTTTGTTTTCTTGTGACTAGGGAAGGCAAGGTCCAATGGCTTTGGAATCAGATCTTTGCCATTAACTTGATATGTGACTTGGATGCAAAATTAGCCTTGCCAAGCCTTAGTTTCTCCATCCATAAAATAGGGAAGAATATATGTATATATTATATATAATTCATTATAAAGTATCGCATAGGTTACTATATTAATATTTAATATAATATTAATACATTAATTTATTAATATATATTCAATATAACATAATTTACTAAAGAAATATAATTGGTAAATTATATAATGCTTTACAATGAAAATGATTATTTTTCATTTTTAGTCTTTCCCATATATACTTTTCAATATAAAGTATTATATAATTTACCAATATACACACATATACATACATGTGTGTGTTACATAATTTAATGAATTTGATTATTTTTTATTTTTAGTCTTTCCCATACTTTTCAAACTCTTTTGGCTATTTTATTCAATAATGTAATGAGGTCTGCCTGTCCCACAGGACAGAGAAAGATGGGGATCCTTGTTCCAAATCCTGAAGCCAGTCCACAAGAAAGCCAAGTTTAGTCCCAAGGAAATTCCAAGCCCCAGTCCATTATCCAATCCCGTCTTGGAAACCCAGCCTTATTTAACAGTGCTGTGTTTGTTACTTACTCAGAATGGACCTGGGCACCGGGAAGAACTCGCCATACTTCTTGTTAAACTCTCGTGCTAGACCCTGCACAAGCTCCATGTGCTGGACTTGATCCTCCCCGACAGGAACGTGTGTGGACCTTTAATAAAAGACAGACAGAAAAGCTCAGCAAGGCTCCTGCTTATACTGAAGTGATCTTGCAAGCAGCTGCATTTCCTGTGCCTATTTCGCTGTTGGTGTTCAACAAATGTTCACCAACTACAGAGGGAATGTTGAGACCCAAGTCTTTATCTATGTATCGGACAAATGCCAAAGAGACATTTGTCTACTCTAGTTCTTTTTCTTCCATAGCAGAAGAATACAGCCATCAACACCGTGTGACAGGATCTTGCTGGGAGGGAGGAATGGTATCTCAAAGGGCATATGCTCGAAGCATAATTGTATTTTAAAACCACTCCTCATTCCCTCACCCAGTCAGCACACATTATCTGAGCTTCGACCAGATGCTTTTTACTTCAGCGCTTGTGCTCACACTTGAAAGCCACTCCGCCCCACCCTGCAAATCAAAGATGGCAGAAAGCTCTTCAGGCAAGAGTTTTTCCTCCCTGTCATATGGGGAGTAACAAGATCTTTCTGGAAGAGCCTCCTTCGTTTTCTAGTAAATTGCAATCACAGTACAATTAATATGCCACAGGGAGCTTAAATGAACATATTTATCAGTACAGTATAGAGAGATCTCAAAAACAACGTTGAACGAAAAAAAATATCAAGTTGTAGGAGACATGTAGAGTACACTGACACATAAATCTTAAAAGTACATAGGAAAACACATTGTTTACAGCTGCATGTGTAAGTATAATAACATTCTGGAAGCTCCTCCCCAAATCCATGATTGTAGCCACCTCCAGAGAAGGAGGGAGGAAAATGATTCTGGGAAAAAGAACAAAGGAGACCTGAATTTTATCCCATAATATTTTATTAAAAAATAAAGATGCGAGCCAAAAATATTAGAATATAGGAGTTCGTTTACCATTATTTTAATCTCATATATAAAATTTGTAGTGTTGGATCTTGATGAGGTACATCACACAAGGGAAGAATTAACTATTTCAGAGAAGTCTTGATGTGGAAAACTTTCTCCTGAAGTATTACTAGGGAGAGACAGGAGATTTTAAGTCTTTTATTTAAGACTTAAGATTTAAGTCTTTAATGCTTGGCTGTGGAGTTTACACTTGATTATAAGTTTATACTTGCTAATAAAAAGAGAATAAGTTGCTATCACTTCTTGATCAAAAGAGTTTAATGTTCCTCCTGTGAAAACAGCTGCCTGAAAGTCAACTTGAATATTTACATGATAATGGTACATTTTGAGTGGAAAATAACAGCTTTTCAAAACAGCTTCAGAAAAGGAAAATTATTCTCCATTGTTATGGAGAGGAAAACCTCTTATACCTGGTTAAGGAGTGGCTCTCAAAAAACTGGCAGAGATCTTCTTATTTCCCTTGTGAATTATTGTCCACAGGCTACTGGTCCGCTTAATAAAGCTGTCTAGCATCCAAACTAGCTTCTTTAATATAGTAAAACACTGGAGAGCATTTTGAAAAATTTGAAACATCCCTCATTATTTTGCAATTATTTTTCTTTTTGCAAATTACTTTCCAGTCTTTTTCTTGTCTATGTGGATGTATAATTTTACATAACTGCAGTATAATATGCATACTATCTTTTATGTTAACGTAATAGATATTTCCCATGTTTCTAGGTGGTCTTCATTAACAGAATTTTTTAATAGCTGCATAAGAACATTCTTGTACTATAGTTACAGAACCATAAGGAATTTATATGATTTCATAGCAGGTTCTTTTGAATATTCACATGGGGGAAATTTTGATTCAAGTTTATATATTTACCTTAATATTATTTGTATTCAATTTGATTCAAAATTATCTTTTATAATAATCCAGAAGTCCTGGGGAGACAAATCTGGTGAATATATATTCAGTACTTTCTGGTCAAAAGCAAGTTATGATTGTTAGTTAATGAAACTAATATTTGTTTGTGTCATAAAATAGTTCTGTGTATATTTCCTAAGAAATGCTGATAAATGTTCTGAAGTTTAGAATAAGCAATAGGTTTGAAAGCAACTCCTTGACACTTCTCTTGTATGGAAGTAACACATTTTACTTATTAAAGAAAACCTCTGAACATTAGTTATGTTTTCATATAGCCCCTCAAATACTCATGTAGTTGGGCTGTATGTGTGCATGTGTGTGTGTGAGAGAGAGAGAGAGTGCGAGAGATTCAGTATAGCACTCATTTAAGAGCACAGGCTTTGGGGATAGGCCAGTTTCAAATCCTGACTCTGACACTCATTTTGTGTTACTCTGGATAAATCATACAATTTCTATCATAGTCAACTTTCTTACTGTAAAATGGGAATAATAATATTTACCCCATACTGTTGTTGTGGAGATAAACTGAGACAAGGCATGTATGGTGCTTAGCACAGTGTCTAAAATCTCATAACCCTTCAAATCACAGTAGCTAGGTAGGGAACAGAATTCTAAAATGGTATATTGTATTTCAGAAAGGTGTTCAAGGGGCACCTGAGTAGCTCAGTTGATTAAGCGCCCCCCCACCCCGCCTTTTTTAAAGATTTATTTGAGAGAGAGAGAAGGTGTGCGCATGGGGGTGGGGCAGAAGGTGAGAATCTTTCAGCACACTCTGAGCACAGAGCCCAAGGCAGGGCTTGATCTCACAACCCAACCCCTGAGATTACAACCTGAGCTAAAACCAAGAGTGGAGGCCTAACTGACAGCCACCTAGGTGCCCCAAGCACCCGACACTTGATCTCAGCTTGGGTCTTGATCTCAGGTTCCTGAGTTCAGGCCCCACACTGGGCTCCGTGCTGGGCATGGAGCCTACTTTAAAAAAAAAAAAAAAAAGGTGCTCAAGATGCATCGTCTGTACAGCTAGAGGTTCATTCATTACGTGACACTGATTTCAACTCCTCTGGCCTGGAATGGTCTAGACTCCGTTAATGAGTGCCAACTCCCTGACTCTGTCTTCGCTTCCTCCAACTCAGGCCCAACCAGGGAAAGTCAAATATACTCCCCAAACTAATCACATAAGAGTCTCCCTTCTAGTTGGCCAGCCTCCAGCCTCCCTGTGGAGGCTCAATTAAAGCATACCCGAATCTTCCTTTTTGCCACCACAAAGCCTCTCCGCTCCCCTGCTTGCCTTCAAGTCTCATGAAATCCAAGGGATGGTGGAGGTTTCCCCTGCTGTAGCAAGCTCTGAATAAATAGCCTCTATTTGTTCTCAGTGGGTGGTCTTTGTTTAAAGATGATCACTACTGGATTTAAACACAGAAAGCACACCTTTGGAATCATTGGAATAGGTAAAAGGAAAGAACGCTCAGTCTGTATAGCAGGAGACAGACAACAAGGAATTAAAAAAAAAATCAATATTTAATGATGTGGAAAAATAGAAGACAAAACAGCAGGATATAAATTTGGGGGAAAATACATATAACCTGCACTCACGCCAAGGAGAAGCCACGGTGGTTAGAGTGGGGACTTGTCGGGCAGTTCTGGGGTCAGATTCCATCCTGACCTGCTGCATGTGCCCGGACAGGTTACTTGACCTCTTGACTCTTGTGTTTTTACTTTAAAACAACTCCCTACTCCTGGAGTTGTGTGAAGAGAGAATATAATGATGCACGCAAAACTTGTAGCCTAGAGCCTTGTACATGGAAGGCAAAGAAGAGATATTAGCTTAAAAAATTGATTTGAAGGAAATGCACTAAGATGTTCACAAGATCAGAAATAGTAGCAGTGATTTTTAATTATTTTCTTGTTGAACATACGTAAGAACATTTAAACTACATTAGAACATTGAAATAAACTGTTGACTCTCTCTCTCTCTGCAAGACTATAAAGACAGCGAAATCATGTATCCTGGATAGCTTACAGGTCAAACATCTGAGGCAGGGAGTTAGGTCTGTTGGAGACACTTCCTCTGGTCTACTAGAATGTTCCTCCCATAGCTCCAACACCTTGGTTCCTTTATTTCGGGTCTAAGCTTAAATATCACCTCCTCAGAGAAGTGTTCCCTAAGCATACTCTCCACAGTTGATTTCTCCCTCTAATTCTTTCCTTTTTCCCCCCACCAAGAAATCTCTACCCCCAATGCGGGGCTTGAACTCATAACCCCAAGATCAAGAGTCACATGCTCTTCTGAATGAGCCAGCCAGGCACCCCCTCCTTTTATTCTTTTCCACATATCCCATTTCTTTTCTTTCTAGTATTATTCCTAATTGAATTATTTTATTTCATGTTTATTTAATTGTATGTTGTTTTCTCACCTGCTAAAAAAATAAGTTTTTTTGAGAGCTTGTCTGTTTTGTTCTTAATTTCTAATCCCCACTTGAGCTGCCCAGAGCTCAAGAAATATTTATTGAATAAGTAATCATTTCTTGACCTTTAGGCTAAAATCAAGTATAAATATTTATTGAATAAGGGAATGATCTCAAGAAGAGGGCACTATGACCGAGATAGTTTTATAGCAATAGAAAAATGACAGTGAAATCAGTTCATCATCAGTTTAGAGGATCAGAGCCTGGACCCAGGAGTCAGACTACATGAGTTTATACCACAGCCCCACCAGCTACGGGATAAGCCATCATAGCCCCACCTTCCTACTTTTCTTAGCCTCTGTCTGGAGTTGGGGGTCATGATGATGCTTACTTCAAAGGACTGTTTCAAGGTTTAAATGAGATAACTAAGCACAGTACTTGACAGTAGAGCTCAATAAACACTAGCTATTGATTAGAATATATATTCATTAATATCTGACCTGATGAAGGACAAAACAGTGAAAGACTGATCCTATTAGGGCCCTCACTGTGAGGTCCATTGTGACTTTTTTCAAACCAGGATCATTTGGATTTCTTGATTGGTGATTTATACCACAAACATAAATACTAACGTATAATCTCAGGGATAGTCACAGATCTCAGCAGCAATCCTGACACAGATAGAAAACATATTTGACCTATCTGATTAGGCAATCCCCAAATATGAACGGCATGTTATAGGGAATCTGAGAACCCCTTTAATTTAAAGAAAACAGAGACAG